AATGTCAAAAATAATGAATAAAAAAATAACTGATAATTCAAACAAATAGATAAATTCAAAGGGCATTGATTAATATTATAAAGATGGTTTTGATTGTAAAACTAATTTGGTTTCTCTATCTTAAAAACATGAATAGCCTTAGGGACACATTTTTTTTGTCACAGTGGGTCATGGTTTATAACTAGCTGTTAAAATAATTCACAAGCATGAAAGGGATACCCATTTCATTGAAGAATTTATAGCTTAAAAGTAAAATAAATCAAAAATCCGTGGCACACTGAAAATAACTTTAATCTATTAACAATGCTTTTCGCCTGTTGTTTCCTCAGGTTCGCCCAGCACAATCTCAGGACATACACAGGTATGTTACAAATGGTTACATGACCAATCATCACAATAAACATTATTCCACAGCCTCAAATGAAAACTATAACGTGCAAACATAAAATATTCATCCATCCTCATAGTGTATTAAAAATGACATACAAATACAAAGCATACTGTATTATCAAATGTAAAAGAGAAACAAGAAAAGTACCAATTCATGTTAATTTTCAATTTAGGGATCAAGGTCCTCTCCCCTATGGCTTACTGAATATAATAAGCAGTATTTAATTAAATTTACTTCAAAACAGTTTTTTTAAACCTGCAGTACCTATAATCAACCAACAGATGGAAACCAAACACCATTTAACAGATGACTGTCTATACTGAAGGAGGCTGGTTGATCCTGTTGGTCTCAGACATGGACTATGATCACACAGATGAAACACCAGAGGACAAACACATTGATCAAAGAAGCTGAAATCAAGTAACGGAAAAATCACAATTCAGTTTCCCAGCAGTAAAGTGGCTCCAACAAACAGAAAAAAATCCCAAAGCTTAGCACTGAAGCGAACATTTTTTATTCACATACTTTATCAGAAAACCAAAATCACCGGGAGTGTTAAATATTTTGTCTTAATTTCAGACAATTTGGATATCATTTATTGACTTAAAACTTTTAAAACAACAGATCACTGATTCTGATTCTGGTTTTATTACAAAGCTGGTTTTAAGATAAGATAAGATAAGATAAGATATACTTTATTCATCCCAGCAGGGAAATTTAGGTGTTCCAGCAACCAGCATACATACATACACACAACACAACACATATATACATACATATCCCACCCATACAAAAAAACATGAGCCCACAATACATAGCCAGGACAAAAAAATGGTATGGATGGTCCATGTGCATAAGTAGCTGTTACTCATAGAAAACAGTACAAAATACTAGCTCTACCAGTGCATAGTATGATAGATAAATAAATAATTATTATAAAAAAGCAGTCAAGTGTGCAAATATACAGGTGCAAAATACAGTTTGATATATGCAGCTCAGGCTAAAGTTTAAAAGTGTAAATGTCTTCTGTCCTTACTTAAATGAGAGTCGTTATAAAGTGCAATTGCAGTAGGTGAAAAAGTATTTTTAAATCTGTCCTTTTTGCAGCTTAGCTGCCGTAGCCTCCCACTAAAAACACTCTTTTGTTTACACACGAATATAAGAATATAAAACAAAATTGATTCAAATAAAAACGGAGTAAATAACAAAAGTATCCTTTGAAATGAAAAGAGTTGTCCAAAGTGTTTAAACTAAAGATAAACTTACAAAGAAATAAAGCGAGTCACATGTCGTCACTTTTCTATAAAGACTACTTGATGCATCTCAACCTGTTACCCTTTAGTAGCTTTAATAAGTAATATTATATCAGGAAAAAAAAGATTGGTAACAAGTGATGTTCATTAATCATGTTTATGAAAAACTCTGACACCTCCTGAGGGACGGATGATTTCAAACAAACCTGTAAAATACAGCGGTTTACATTTCAAATCTGTTTTAACTGCAGATGTTATTGTGACTGACGAATCAATCTTTAAAGTACGTCTGATTGAAACTACATTAATATGTGTTAGAATGAACCATTTCTAAAGTTACTGTTTATACGTTCATATTAGCTGGATGAAGAAATATGTTACCAATATATTTTTAGTAGCCTAACTGAAATGTAAATGTTTAAAGATTATTCATGCTGTCTGAGATACACGTGTGTGTGTTTGTCTTTGTGTGTATGTGTTTGTAATGTTTTCATTGGTTGCTTAGTACTCTTTTTGAATATGTTAATTTGACCTTCTACACACACACACACACACAGGTGATGCAGTATAGAATAGTACTTCCTATTTAACAGATATGAAACTGTATCGCTGTTTGTTAGTTTTGATTGAAATACAGCTAAAATCGAGATTTCTCTTCTCTGTATTATCTACTTCATTGTTGTATCTGTTTCGTTTTTCTTTTGAATATACAATTCTCCTTGATTACTTTCTCAGGCAGGAGGTCTGTCAGATTTTATCATTTCTGGGGCTTTAATCCATTAAAACTATTAGATGTGTCATGTATTTGGTATCTGAGCTTTTTCTTCCTTCATTTGAATTTAAAATGTTTTTTACAACCTGAAGAAAGTACTGTGGATAAAAAGTGTATAATCATGACGTGTTATAATCTAAATAAACCCCTCAGTTTTATATTCATGTATCCCAGTTGGACCAGCAGAGAGGCAGGTGCATTGATTTTGTGTTAAACATTACCTGTCAGAGGATACACACTGATGGACGGATACGCAGGTGCTCTAAAGTTACCTGGTAACCACCAAGCACCGCGTTTATCATCCACAGCAACCATCTCTCTGTGCAAAGTCCACCGCTTCCTTCCTATTGGTCGGAGCTGATGCAGCCAAACTGCCCTTTGTTAACCACCTTGAAACATGCAGTATACATGGCTTAAAGTTTACATGAAACACGGGGCTGTGATAGAAAATGGCTCGTCAGTGCAAGGTGTTGTCCAATCATGTGAGGAGAAGTGTTTTTTTTTTTTCTGAAAGGCAGCATCACAAAGTTCAAACCTTGACTCTTTCACAACCTCAGAATGAGTCCTTTCTCACCGCCTGAAGTGGGCGTGAACGGCAGGGTGTCACTTGTGAAAAGTTACAGAAATATTTTTGCAAAGGCTTGTTACATGGCTACAGATCTAAAATCTTAAATCAAATGAAAAACTCTCGCTGATGCATCAACAGGTTTATTAAGGGGACCGTGTGTGGCGTAGTATCAGACAGCGATTGTTTCCAGTCTTGTGTCGAGGTCTGTTCCCTCTTTTTTATTGTGTTACCTGCAGTGCTGCTGTCCTCTGTGTTTGGTGTTAGAGCTCAGGTCAAGTTGGCATCAGGTGTACTGTAACAGGGATAAACATCTGGGGTCGGAGGGTGCAAGATCAGGTGGAGGTTAAGTTGAGAGGAAACACGCATAGGCAGGGAAACTGACCCTGAACCAGTTCCTCTGGCTGTCTAACTCACGGAAAACATTTTTTAAAAACTATGATTGGATTAAGTTATTTTGATAACTCATCTGTTTTGATTATATTTAGGCTCAGTTGGCTGATTTGGTGAGCATGTTCTGGCTGTTTGCCATCTCAGATCAACCTTTTGTTTTCCTGCTTCTGGAGTGACTGCACGTTATAGGTTGAGTTAGCATTTCTAAACACGGCGACCACCATTGATGGGCTTTAAACTGCCTCTGCAGATCCAAATGGATGATGTCACTGTCCACCTGCGACACAGTCAAGGGTCAGACACCATGCGCGGTTTTTGAAAGTCTGTTGATATCCTGAATTCTTCCGATTGTCATCAAATTCCATTCAACTTTAAGAAACAGTAAATTCATTTATCCTACTGCAGCAACATTTTCCTTTGGGGCTTCACGAGGAACACTAAAGTGCCGCAGTCTGTGTATCATTGATTGAGTCTACCGTGTCAGATTTCTCTGCCTCTTTTACTTCGGGGCCACTGTGCAGGGGTCCAAACAGCAAGAATCATTATCTTCATCACCATCTTCACCTCAAACAACATCTTTTTTCCACATTCAACAACAACAACAACACCTTGAGCATCATCATTTTTCATTTTCATGATTCCCACTATCGTCATCTTCAGTCATCTTCATCTTAAACATTTCTTATTACCACATTTAGGTAGTCCGGAAAAAGTATGCAGAAAGACTCGTATAATGGTCTTTGTGCATCTCTGTGCAAACTCGCTCCCAGAGAAAGGAGTGTTGTGAGTGTTCGTGCATCATAGCCTACATTATTTTCATCATCATCTTCACCACCACCATCATCATCTTTTGCGTCTTTTTATTAGATATCAAAATCTCCATCAGTTTTATCCTAAGTAAGCTATACTCTCATTTCGTCTTCATTATCAGCCTAATCATCTGCAATATAATCTTCTTCTTCAACCTCCTCCTCCTCCTCCTCCTCCTCATGGTCTTCAGTATCTCAATGAGCTTCACCTTTAACATCTTTATCTCACACATCATCATCAACATCTTCTTTTCTGTCTTCAACTAGACTACATAAGGATTAGCACATCCCTGTTCTCAAATAAAACAGAGTGATCATAAACAAGACCATCATAATGATAGGGGCGACAGATGGTCAACTTTCCCCACAAAGAGAGAGAGAGAGAGGAGAGAGAGAGAGAGAGAGAGAGAGAGAGAGGAGGGAGAGAGAGAGAGAGAGAGAGAGAGAGAGGGAGAGAGAGAGAGAGGGAGACAGAGAGAGAGAGAGAGAGAGAGAGAGGGAGAGAGAGAGAGAGAGAGAGAGAGAGGGAGAGAGAGAGAGAGAGAGAGAAGTCTTTCGCTGATACAAATGGAAGATTTGTCACGTGATCCCCGGGGCCGTTTTAATGACGTACGCACCATATGGCGCGTGCCGGCGGGAAGGTGGGGCCTGGATATGCTAATTACCTCCCTAACCCTTGTGTGTGTGTGTGTGTGTGTGTGTGTGTGTGTGTGTGTGTGTGTGTGTGTGTGTGTGTGTGTGTGTGTGTGTGTGTGTGTGTGTGTGTGTGTGATGCTGAGTATAAAACCAGCATCATCCCACATACACACCTCAAAAAATCTCAGAGTGGATCCCGCACAGTCACGCAAGAACACGCACATAGAGCACGCGGGGATGTGTGCAATCTGAGGACGGCATTTTTACACAACAGGTAGGATTTTAACCTCTGATAGTTTACTAACACCGTGGTCAATTTGATTCTTTTTTTTAAGGCTACATATTTATAAGCTACCGAATTAATAACATTTCATGCTTATTCAGCCGGGAATGGCTAATTGTAAATCAGTGACTGAATAATTAATTGCATGTTTATTAAATTAATCAGAAAAGCTTCAACGTTTTTTTTAAAGCCCATATTTAATTTTAATCCCCCCCCGTGTTTTTTGCCCTCTGCGTCAGTCATCGTTTCTTTTCTTTCCTTTTTTATTTACTACCAAACTAATTCCCTGAAGTTTCAATTTATATTTCAATAATATATTTTGATATTTAATTTTTATTTGTTGTTGTTTAATTGTTTTTTGTTTTTTGTTTGTTTGTTTCGTCCTTCTTCTTTCTGTTAAATCCGCGCGCCTCCACCTGTCTTACCCCCCACCTGTCTGTCAGTCAGTTCAATTAGGACTCGGACAAGTCAGCGAAACGGGAACTAAAGAAAAACATTATTTGTCAGCAAAGTTTCAATAATCCTATTATAATTATTATATAGGCTACTTATTATCAATATTAGGCGATATCAAAAGCTTTAATACGTTCAACTCACTCATTTAGAAAATGTGTCTTCTTCATTTTTGAGTAAAACATTTTAAACATTTCTCATTTAGGCTAACTCTGCTGCAAGAAACCATTCTCATTATTAATATTATTTATTTATTTAGCCTAAATAATTGAACCGGTTGTTCTACCGGGCGTCTTGTGAAAAGATTTAACGGAGAAAGTCAATTGGCCTTGTTCCACCATTACCAAACGTTTCCCCCCTTTCTCTCCGGACAAGCTGTAGGCTGCTCCACATGTGTAGATACTTTTTTGCGACATATTAATGATTTAAAACATTTTAATTCAGAACTAAAGGTCATCCGTTAAATTTCTGTATTATTTTTGGCCTATATGTTATAAATAGAATTAAGCTTTCAACAGGCAGTACTTTCAATAAGCTATTCTTGTTTCTACAGTCTGAATGCGCAACAGATTGAAGAAGCTGCGTAGGCGACCGTATACTGAGTTTTATTCTTAACAGTAACACAAGATCATTTAACAGATTTATTTCTGAATGAGGTTAATCATTTAATAAATTGAACTTCCTGTATTTTTAAGATTTCATTTTATATACTATTTTATTTCATGTTCTACTTTAGACAAGAATCGCGGCAGGTGCATTGGATGTTTTTTTTTCTATTTTAGTTCCTCCCATATAATTTGAAAGTAAATACAATCACCTACCTTGATTTATTATTACCCCTCGGTATATCGGGTGAGTCTGAGTCTGATCTTAAGGGACTAAATCTCAAAATATAATGATTTACTTCAATACCGGTATATGTTGTTGAAATGAATGAATCAGAACAAAGTTCAGGATGTGAAGTAGTGCAAAATGTTGAAGGCATTTTGAGTCACAAAAAAAGACTAAATCAAAAAGGAAAAAAATTAGATTTTTGAAAAAAGCTTCTTTATATATAATATGAAATGGTCCTTGATTGTTGATGCTGATCAAAGCCCACAACAGCACTTAGAAATGGCTGTTTTCTTAAAGCAGGTCTTGATAGTTAACTTTTCTGTAAATAAGATTTTTCTATACGCATTACAAAAATGTGATGGTGAGCTTCCGCTGTTTTACTGTTTTCTGATATCTTATTTCTTCTTCTCACAGAGAATCAGCATCATGACCAGGTCTGTGCGGGAGGAACAGGCGTCGGTGGAGTCAGAGGAGCAGCAGGAGCTTCTCAGCGCGGAAGAAGAAGAAGACATAGAGAGAGAAGGAGGAGGAGAAGGGGAGGACGAGGAGGACCACCTCCACCACCTGGAAGACGACGACGAGGAGGACGAGGAAGAAGATGAAGAGGAGGACGGAGAAAACAAACCCAAAAGACGAGGGCCGAAGAAGAAGAAGATGACGAAGGCTCGCATACAGAGGTGAAGAGTTTTATCTTATTTGCTTGGTTTGATTTAAAAAAAAAGTGTTTCAAGATAAAATCCAAATATATGTAAAGATTGTCCTTAAGGTGGCGCTGGAGGGTCAGGGTTCATCCTCTGAGGAGCAGGAGTGTGGTCAACAAATTCAATGGAAATCTGACCCATCAAAAATGTCTTCCACAGCAAAGTATTTAAAGAACTAACATCCCATAAATCAACAAAACATCCAAACTTCAATTAAAATAGATATGCTAAAATGTTCTTTGATAAATATATTCAAGAAGGAGAGAAAATCTCTGTTTTTATTTGTTTATTTGTAAGATCTGAGAGTATGCTGAAGTGGGCCTCTACCCATTTACAGTTGGACAAGTAGGCTTCTGTCATCTTTAATACCACCATGTAGAAAAGTCTGATGAGTCAGATTTACTTTCCTAAGAAAAAGACTTTATATTATGACTCCTTTCACATTATTTTTTAAGAAACTTTAAATAAAACTTAAACACATAAACAAAGGACTTGAACAATGGATTATTGTCCCAGTCCTCAACTCTTTCTTCTACTTTTCTATATACAGATGACATCCACAATTGGTGACATTCATTCATTAAGCTTCATATTCATACAATGTAAAACTAAATATGATTTATGTGTGTATATATATATATATATATATATATATATATATATATATATATATATATATATATATATATATAAAATCTAAACTTCTTCCTCGGCTTGGCAGAAAGCTGCACCTCTACTCTCGTGTAAAGATTACCTTTCCGTCCGTAACTGCTCGTCCAAAACATTCAAATCTCTCTAAGTGCTCTCTGACAAAATACAGATGGCTGAATAGAAATTAATAAAAACATTTTATAATTTTAACTTCAGGATCATTCTTTGTCTTTGAGGTTAACAAAGCAGCAGTATTTTTATGACAGCCTGATTCTTGGATGCTGATGACAAGGATGTCACAGAAACACTAGTTGTTAAAATGTCTAATTATAAATCCACTTTGTGCTTCTGCAGGTTTAAAGTTCGTCGGATGAAAGCTAACGCCAGAGAAAGGAACCGCATGCACGGTCTGAACGACGCTCTGGAGAGTCTGCGGAAAGTCGTCCCTTGTTATTCCAAAACGCAGAAACTGTCTAAGATCGAGACGCTCCGTCTCGCCAAGAACTACATCTGGGCCCTGAGCGAGGTCCTTCGCTCCGGGAAGGCACCCGACCTCATGAGCTTCGTCCAGGCTCTCTGTAAAGGTCAGTGTCACCTTATAGGAGCAAACTGAGCTGTGTTAACTAAATCTGAGTTAGTCTGCATAATGTCTGAATGAAATCAAGATAAAGAGGAACATTGTGAGCATGGGGAGTCAACCACTGAGAAGCTTCTTTAACTAAATGTCAGCGAAACCTAGTAGTTCCCCCTAGTGTCAAAATTGGAAAGATATCTGGAGCAGTTTTGACCTAAATAGGAACCAATATGTTTTAGTATTAAGAAAATGTAATAGTTTTGGAGGGAAAATTGCCATTATGTGAAAAAAAGACAAAGACAAGTCAAGAGAGCGGCAACCTCCAGTGTTGAAAAAGGAAGCCAATGCTGGAGTGCCAAAAGTGTCAAGGGTCCACTTGAGTCTGGCTGCAGAAGCGCTGGAAGTCACATACACACCCATTCAGAAAATGCCTGTTTTTACAGCAGAAATAAACGCAGACATACAGCCTGGTTCAAAACGATGTTTGTCAAGAGGCTCAAGACTTCCCTCATCTCCTGCTCTTAGCATTTTTTAGGTTGATAGGAAGCTAGGTGGAGACAGCATTTCTAGCATGGTGACCGCCATCTTTGTATCAGGTTAGCATGCTAGTATTTGCTAATTAGCAATAAAAAAGAATAGAATAGAATAAAATTACTTTATTGATCCCAAACTGGGAAATTGTGGAAATGAAATAGATTAGATATAATCATTATTGACGTGTTGTTGTCTTTGTGTTCTCAGGTTTGTCTCAGCCGACCACCAACCTGGTTGCAGGCTGCCTGCAGCTGAATCCACGGACGTTCCTACCCGAGCAGACGCCCGACATGCCGGCTCACCTCCCCCCTGCTGGCACTGTCACCTACCCTGGACACTTCTCCTACCAGAGCCCCGGGCTGACGGCCGGCCTGCCCAGCCCGCCCTATGGCACCATGGATCCCTCCCACATCTTCCACCAGGTCAAAGGGCAGCCCTACGGCCCGCTTGAGCCCTTCTTTGATGGCGTCCTGGTGTCGGACGGCCCGGCGTTTGACCCGCCCCTGAGCCCGCCGCTCAGCATCAACGGGAACTTCACGTCCTTCAAGCACGAAGCCGTCTCAGCCGCCGAGTACGACAAGAGTTTCTCGTTCAGCGTTCACTATGGAGGAGGAGGAGGAGCGGCAGGTGGACACCCGGCCATCTACGGAGGAGGGTCCAACCCGCGGTGCGCTGAGATGCCGGTGGATGGGATGATGAGCTTTGATGGACACTCACACCATGAGCGGCTGATGAACGCCCAGCTGAACGCCATCTTCCACGACTCCTGAGGGAGAGGAGGATGAAGGACTGAGAGGCTGATGAAGGCAGAGAGACATACAAAGAAACCGTTAGATAGAGAGACAGACAGTTCTGTGTCTATCACTTCAAACCTGTCTTTCTCTGTCTTCTTTTCTGTCTTCATCATGTTACTCCTCGTTAGTATGGTCATAAAAACGATGACGTCATGATGATGTCACATTGATGATATCACCTTCTTTATAGCGCTTCATCCTGCAGGAGACGCTCTCTGAATGTCTCTTTATTATCCATATTATCATTTAAAAAGAATCAATAAGCAATAATCCGGAAGAAAACTATGCAATTTTGTTAAAGTCTGAGCCAAGCTCGGCTGATAATTCCAAATGTTATAAGAATAAAGATTTCTCTATTTTTGGTCAGTGTGCGAGGCAGTGTGGAGCCGGCGTTGGGGCCGAAGTGTTCATGTTGTTCATGTGGTTTTTACTTTTTGCATTTTATAAAGTTCCTGTAGTGTTTCTGTTAACATTTCATGTGACTCTTGTTTATATTTTATAACATAGATGTTTATGAAGGCCTTTCATTAAAGGGAATTCAATGTGATTAAAGTTTGAGACTCCGTTCTTCAGCAACAACACAAAAAAACATCAACAAACAAATCGAGATGACTGTGATTCAGATCGATTTAATCATCTTCAGTCTTGTTTAGTGAGGTTCACTTCATTTAAAACAAGCTCTTTTCACGTTTAAAAAGTATAGTAACACACACACACACAATAAAACAAATCACATTTTTGCATTAATTTAAACAAATATGGCTCATGTTATATATTATGCTGAGGTGTTCACTCAAAATTTCCCGAATTCTTTTTACATGTTCAAACCAAGGTAAATCAAAAATTGTAATCACAGTTATAATCTTTTTTAATTGGTTCACTGTCTTCAAGAAACAAAGGGAAATACCAGAGGTGCATCCAAGATGAAGAATCCCATTTCAGAACTGTTTAAATAAGCTTATGTTATGAACGACATAATCTGGATAATTGTGAATTATGCATTTTTTGCCTTTATTTGGATAGGAGTGGATAGAGTAGTAAATCGGGGAGAGAGAGAGCAGGGAAGACATGCAGGAAAGGAGCAACAGGTTGAATTTGAAACCAGGACTATAGCCTCCACACATGACGCGCATCCTAACCCATCTGGGCCCATCACTTTTTTTAAACATCTAATACACTTCAGATTAAACTGCAATTGAGTATCATCACATTACAACCTCAGGGCTGCAGTAAAACAATGACTAATATGCTCTTGTGAAGTAATTTCATAGTAGATATTGATAATATCTGAACCAGCTCTGAAAAACATGCTGAGTTTGATATCCCAGAGAATTAATTTTTTTTAAGATTTATTTTTGGACTTTTTGTGCCTTTAATGGAGAGATAGGACAGTGGATAGAGTCAGAAATCAGGGAGAGAGAGAGAGAGTGGAGAATGACACGCGGGAAATGATCCACAGGCCGGATTCCAACCTGGGCCGCCCGTCTGGAAGTGCACTAACCACTGCGCCAACAGCGCCCCGAGAATGGAGTTTTTGATGCGATAGGACAACAACATAATTTAAAGTGGATTTTAGGCACCGAGAATGATAAACACTTCAGGAGAAAACACATATCTTGTTACAGAGGAAACCCTGTTAACATGTTAACAACATTACCCCACCAACTGAAGGACAAATCCAACATTACTGTGTGTGTGTGTGTGTGTGTGTGTGTGTGTGTGTGTGTGTGTGTGTGTGTGTGTGTGTGTGTGTGTGTGTGAAGGGCACAGATGTTCGTTCTGCAGGCAAGATTTTAATTTATGAAAATGATCTTGTTTATGCATGAGAGCCCCCCTCCAACTACTGTCCTGCTGTGTCTGTGTCTGTGTCTGTGTGTGTGGTGTGTGTGTGTGTGTGTGTGTGTGTGTATGTGTTAGTGTGTGTGTGTAAGTGTGTAAGTCAACAGGGACAATATGGTGGCCATATCCCACCATTTAGTCTCCCTGTAAAGTGGAATAATGATAAGTAAAAGTCGGACTCCGGCATAAAGGTACATCCTATTCAATCAGAGCAGAAACGATTGCCTGACTATAAATACATGTTAATATCTGAAAGTAAAATATCAATATTTATGAAAGAAGAAAGAAAAACTGCTGTAAACATAATCATAAAATAGAATAGTTTCATAGACAGAGAGAAGGAAAATATGTTGAAATATACATAAACTTTTATGTTCAAAAGATGAGTAGGCCAATAAACGTCATGTGGATTTCTGTCTATAGGGAAAGCTCATGTGTGCAGCAGCAGTATCACCACTATTAATTATAGTATTAGCGGTATTCTTTCTAATAGAGGTTTTGTTTTTCCGTCTCTTGGCTGATCACAGGGCTGATTAATGCAGCTTAAAGTCAGCCATCTGTCATCAACACACACTGCTGTGTTTACGTGTGTGTTTGAGTTGTAGCACTGACCACAGTCAGCGGAACATCCCGTTCTCTGATTGGTTATCAGATGTTGGTTAAAATGATACATGAATGTAGATACCTTTAACAATCAGTGCTCCAGGTATTAACAGTACAGTGGTAGGTTTACCTAATCCGAACATGAGCACATGTTTTGATTTGTAAACAACACTAACCACTTACATTTTGTTGTTGTTAGTCGGGGTATTTAGGAATATTGGACGGTGTCCTTATGAACTTTTGACAGTCTAGCGTCCCAGATTTAGGCTTATAATCCTGAGTTGAGCTAATCAACTCTTGGTTATATTTACCCCATTTGAAGAGATTGAGAAACAGACTAGACATGTTCTCATTGAAAGCTAGAAAAAATGGCCTCCAAGACATTTCAATGAAAGATTTGTTACTGAGTTCAAATGCTCTTTTTCTTTTTTAAAGATTTAGTTTTGGGCTTTTTGTGCCTTTAAAGTAGAGATAGGACAGAGGATAGAGATGTAAATCAGGGAGAGGGAGAAGGGAATGACATGCGGGAAAGGAGCCACAGGCTGGATTCGAGCCTGGGCCGCGCACTAACCACTGCGCCACCAGCGCCTCCAAATGCTCCTTTTCAATGCCATTAAAATGCCATGATAAGAGGGATATCTAATCAAATGACATAGCTATTGATATATGCTTTGTTTGAAAAAAAAAAAAAAGCATTATATGTTTGAAGTGACTCCTGCTGACAGATAGGAAAGAAAAAGTATAGGCCAGTATTTTGGCCAACAGTATTTTGTTGTGACAGAAAGACAATAGTGAAAGAAGTACCAGAGATCTTCACTTTCATTTTGTAGAGTAAAGCCCTATTCAAAAGTTCACACACCTTAAAACGGAAAGCATACCCTAAGTAGGCCAGGGCCTTGTTGCTTAAATAGCTTAAAAATAGGCCTAGTCCTATTTGAATTTGTAAATATATATGTCATAACTATTATCCCCGGGGAAAAGTTAACTAAAATAGCCTAAATCGATAAGAAAAGCTTCAGTAAATGTCCTCAAATAGGCTTTGGTACTCAGTATGTGCGCGCTCCCGCTTGGAAGAAAGGTGTTCACGGGAGCGCGCACATACTGTTGATTAGACTGCCGCGTGCCCGAGCCGTGACTTCCGACAAAGCTGCTACTTGTCACCATAGCGACGATAAACACCGGAAATACACCGTAACCTGCGGACTGTGTGGCGATTAGCCTGCTACAGCATGTTTATCTGTCGAAAAAACTCATAACTGCCGTTGTTTGTTTGTTTGTTTGTTTGTTGGTTGGTTGGTTGACTTAGCGGGTAAAGATGTCGGAGCCCGAAGAGGATGACCTGCAGGAAGAAAGCACAGAGAAGAAGAAGAAGAGAGAAACACGAAGCGTGAAGAAGAAGAAGAAGAAGAGGGACCAAGAAAAGCAGCAGCAGCAGGTGGAGGAGGAGGAAGCTGAGCAGAGGTGAGAGTGAGCCCTGACTGGTTAATAAACTACTGAACAACAGTACTGAGTTTACATTGTGAAACACTATTATCAAATCCTTTATTCAAGTAAAAGTAAACCTATTTAAAAAAAATCCTAAAGTTCTGCAGTCAAAACTTTTTAAAACAAAATGCAGCTACTATTATTAAGATATCTATGGAAGATAATCAAAATGCATTTCACCAAATAACTTCAGCTTAAAAAAACATTTTGTTTTGCAAAAAAAAAAAGAAATTGTGAGGTTATTCCATTACAGATGTTATAACTCATGATGGGAGCGATGATTCTGAAGAAATACATCACTGCAGAAGAAAAGGGGGGGCAACAATATCTGACACCATGATAAAATGTGAAATAGAAATCTACAGTTTATGGTTGTTTAAAGTTTTAATTTGTAGATAGTTACGGTCACTTCACATGCAGAGTGTGTGTGCGCCTTCATTTTTGTCTCTTCCCAGATTATTGACACTGAAGTCACATGCTTCATGGCCTGAAGGGTCTTTTCTGTTGCTGTTTGGAACATTTATGTTTTTAAAAAAATAAATAAAATGTAAAACACCTTTTACCTAATATTATAATGAAACACATAATCTTTACGTCGCCTCGTTGTTTTTCAAATTTGCGTGAAGAAGCAGGCCTGTGTTTTGATACAGTTTGATAGATGACGATACTTAAATTAAGTTCAAATTCTGATGGATGTTTTTAGGACAAAGTTGGGGAACTTTAAACTGAAGCTTTATTTTTAATTGTTGTCACAAGGCCCGGGATGTTAGCCTCGTTTTATATTGCAGGAGTTAGACCCGCCAAAAAAAACTACTCTAAACATTTTAAAAAACAAACAACTGTATGTTTTGAGGGAAATTCAACCAGACCAATGCTTAATGCAGCTGTATACATTTAGTAGTACATGTAAACTCCTAGAATTGACATCAGCCTCAGATGTACTCTCTTTGTACTAAATAGCATTATTTAGCATGCTTACTTGCTAAGCACATTTGATGGTGAATGTGTTTTTGTTTGTGGTTTCCTGACTCTGTTTGTCTGTTTGTCAGTGAGTGCGTTGTGCTGCGTGGGATCTTCAAACTTGGAAAGAAGAGTCATGACGTCCTGCTCACTCCAACCAGACTGACCTGGACCCCCATCACCCCGGAGACCCCCACAGGTCGGTTGCCACAGCTACGGCTTGTCACGATAACAAGTTGTCCTGCTGCTAACAGAGAGACAGGCAGGCAGAGTTTGTGGGCAGCTGGTGCTGTAATGGAGAAGTTTTGTCATGTTGAGACCACCTGAAATATGACATCTGGACGCCACACACACAAACCTGCATGCACGCACGCACACAGACAAACACACACACACACACACAGAGTATAATCATAGTAATGAGGTCGTTTATCAGTTCTAGTGATCTCTTTGGGTCTCTGAAACTCAGTTTGATGCTGTTAGCATGTAGCTCAGAGCATCGCTCAGACTTGTTGCCGTAACCGTAAACTCTAAATCTAATTTGTTTGAAAAAGTAGTGTGCATATTTTGGAAGCAATTTACAGTCTTGTGTGTGATGAATTGCTGCCCACCTACACTGAGATAATACTTTTAGTGGATCCTGAAGTTAGGCACTTTGAT